AAAAAAAAAAAAAAAAAAAAAAATTAAGATGAGTGACTGTATCCTAGGTTAGGAGTGGGGTAGAAATTAATTAGAGTTAATCTAAAGTTGAAGCTTTTGGTCACATCAGATAAAATGCTAAGAAACAAGTTCATTTCACAAAGAAAGGTTCACATATGTCTTTATACCTAATCTCATTTTTGCCTCTTAAAAGTTGAATGTTTTTTTCTGGAGCCTGTGAGATGGCTCAGTGGGTATTTTTATTTTATGCATATGGGTGTTTTACTTATATGTGAATCTGCACCACTTGTATGCAGAGGCCAGGAAAGGGCATCAGATCCCCTGTAACTGGAGTTTTTTGTTATTAATATTATTATTATTAATTGTTATTTTAGCATTTTATGTATCTGAGTGTTTTGCCTGCATTTATGTCTGTGCACCACATGTATACAGTGCCCTCTGAGGCCAGAAGAGGGCATTGGATCCTTTGGAACTAGAGTTATTGACAGTTGTGAGCTGCCGTGTGGGTGCTGGGAAGTGAACTTGGGTCCCTGGGAAGAAGAGTCAGTGTCTTAGTCACTGAGCCGTCTCTCCAGCCCCAGAATCTCACTTTCTTAATCTGGAAAAGAAATAATACCTCCTTTTCGAATTCAGTTATATTTAAATGAACAAATCTGTGTGTAATGACCAGCAAGAAATTGACATGTTATAGATGCTCGAGGCTCCTACTTAACTTTTGAAGTTGTAGTTATTAGAAAACATTAAGTGAGAACCAGTTTTGTCCTTTGTCGGTCTTCTGTGTACAGAAAGATTTGTCACCATCCTGAACCCTGAATGCTCCAGAGCCCTTATGAAAGACTTAATTTACAAAGCGATCATTCTGTATGGAGGATTTGAATACTAAGGATTTTACATAGCCTTTTGTAAATCCACCACAGAGAGCAAATGCCGATGTGACAGGTGCTGCTGTGAGGCAGTAAGGGAACACAACATTGGAAAGAAGAGAATGTCTACCGTGTTGCCTAACCTAGGGCGCACAGTCACTTCCCTTAATCTTTTCTCGTGTGTCTTTGCTTTGACTTGAGATGTATCTGCTGATTTTTCTAGGTGGTTGATAAACAGTTCTGGGCTGACAACTAGAAGGGCTGAATAACAGTTTCAAAAGTCCCTGGCATCATGTGCATTTGATAAAATCCATGAGTGCTCCTGTAAAGACCAGCACAGTGTATACGGGGAGGGGTTAAGTGTGTAGGAGGCTGGAGGGATAGTTCATGGTAGAACATGTGCCTAGCATGCAGCAAGTCCCAAGTCCCAAGGTGGCGGGGGTCGGGGGGTGGGGTGGGAGAGAGAAACACTCCCTTCTCTGCTTGTAGGTCTGTATATCTTCCAGGACTCAGAATACTGTCCTCTCTTAGTGAAGGTGCCTAAGTCTTCCAGGAAGGCTTTTTTAAAAGAGACAAATATTTGTTCAAAAAATACAGAAATGAATGGCTGGTTTGAATAGGCAGTAGTTTATGACAGGAAATTTTGGCCAGAACCAGGTTAGGAGGGGCAGTGTAGCCTCTGTTTGGTAAGGTGTCAGTTTAACTTTACAAACAAGGAAAGAATGTGATTAAATGCCCATCTCCTTAAGACACCTGCTGAATGGAGTAAGGTAGGGCTGGAATAGTCGGAGCCTGTCAGCAGGCAGTGTGATGAGGGACTTGAATGAGCATAGTTAATGTAATTCATAGTTTACTGAGTTTAAACTCATCAGATCATAGTGTATCTAAATTTCAGAGACTGGAAGACGGTATGTGGTGGGGTGTGCTACACAATCTTAGGTTTTGATAGTGGCGGTAAAAAAAAGAGGTGCTTGATACAGCATAGTGTTGGGGTGCTGGCTGAGCATGGTGAGACTGGGTCCTGTCTCTAGGGTGGCTAAAAAAGTCTGGAATAATTAGTAAAGAATCACTTTGTAACATTGGTAAGGTTTCTCTGACGCTGTGGAAATGAATAATTTTGCGGAGAAAGTAAATGGGCTGTGGGTTTTCACGAGAGGTTAAAGGAATTTTTTTATATGGCATCTTGTTACTGAGTCTATTTCTCTCTCTCTCTCTCTCTCTCTCTCTCTCTCTCTCTCTCTCTCTCT